CGTTTGAAGTTGAGGACATTGCACATTTATTTATTCTTTAGTAACATTGCATTTTACCTCTTCCTATTTTTGCACATTTCTTAAAGCTTTTTAATTTGTAAGTCAACATTTCTTTGTGCAATGTTTTTACAACAACTTGTTTTTTATTGTTGAAGTTTTTAATTGTTCCTGTGAGGGTCTAAGGACAGAGAGTCTGTTGTGAGGAATTAAATGTGAAACAAATAGCAACAAAATAAGCCTTTTCTCCAAAAGTGTAAACGACACACATGCAGTAGGCTTAGTACTCATGTATAATATCAACCATAGTTCATATATGTCTCTTCTTCATGTCTCTAAATATCTAAATGTTCCTTCAGAGATATACTTGAAGACGACCCAGGCGGCCAAACTGTCGTACGTTGTGTTCATCGTGAAGAGCAGCGTCTACGGCGCCGGCGTGGCCTTCCTGCTGTGGAGGCTGCAGGTCGGTTCACTTCTGAATGAATCAAACAGGCTTTCCATTACGTGAATGAATGTAACTTAAAAACACTCCTCCTGTCTGTGTGCTGCAGGGATCAGCGGGGAAGCAGAACAACTGAGAGCCGAGGCCGGAGAAAATAGATCCAGGGCATCAGTAATGCTTCTGTAAATCAAACGGTGTGAGAACATTGAAGTGATATAACCACAGCTCTGTCTGTCTGCAGGCCTTTCTTCCCCTTCAATCCAGATTCCTGTTCAAGCTAAATATGACATCAAATACTTCAACATTATAAATTGTTCTTATACTGATTCTGTGTTTGTGTATCGCTTGTTCGCTTAATTTTCTTCTCAATAAAAACTCTTTCATCCAACCAATCAGGTGCTTTCATTTCTCTATAAGACTGTTATTATATATATAATATATTATATATATATTATTATACAGGTAGCACAATGTACACACATATCGTAGGAGCACAGAAACAGTGTTCAAATTCTGCTTTTACAGATTTATTTTGGATGTGCGTACCTGGCAAAGGAATGTTATGAGTGTCAAAGGAATGTTTTAATGTAAATACATTCGCACAATAAAAGCTAAATATGTGTTTGTTACGTCCCAACTAGGGGAAGAGGAAAGCAACATACACCAGTTGGAATTGGTAATAATTATAAATAGTTTTATTGTATAACAGATAGAGAAAAATGGAAGGCCTGAACAAACAAAAGGGCCAAAAGGGCGTGGGTTTCAACGGGCAACCAACAAAGGAAGGACTCTAATAACGGAGCCTACTTACATACAAAGAAATAGATACTAAAGAAATAAATAGCAACAAAACAACCCATTAGCAAAAATACCATTTTTAATGAAGTAATTTGAAGATACAGACTTAAAAAACAATCACACCATGAAAATTGTTTATATTTATCAATAATAATTAGTTATAATTAAATAATTATCAATCCCTCCACTATGTCTCATATTGCAATAAAAACAATTGCAATACGTACTTTGTTCCAGTGCTCATGAAGTTTCCAGAGGGTAAAACATTTATATTCAGTGTATCTCTAAACAGGTACGCGTAATGTCATAACGGTGGATTTAAATACACAAAGTAACACAGATGCTTTCGGCAGTTGACCTAAATGATTGATTTGATATAAACGTCTCTCACTGATCGTCACTTTTTCCACAGAAGTATTTTTAGCTGCTCGCCTCTTTTCTGAGAAGTCGCTCGTCTCTCAGCGACATCAGGTGGAAACATCTCATCTGGTCTGAGAGGTGACGAACTCCAGTGACATTTGATCATATGTCATTGTTTGTTTTATTTATACATTTCAAGGAGTTCATCTGACATTATTCAAGTTGATGAAGTGAAGTTGGTGAGACTCTACAGACAAAGAAGAAAGTTTATTTGTGCAATGGTCAATTTTAAGATTAATTTGAAGGTTGAAATAATATAATAAGTATATTTCTGATAAAATGTTCACCAAACAAATTGCTTCCACTACAGATATAAGTAACACTGCATACAAGCTGATACTTTGGGCTATTTCTCTTCAAAATCCACATTTAGGAGTTTATTTTATTAACTTTGTCTTTTTGTGTCAGCAGATTTCTCCTAAATTCACCAAAGGTTAGCATCACATAATGCCTCATTAGCATATTTAAACATAACATGTCAGAAAACTTGTATAATAAAAAATAATGGTGGTAATGTCAGTAATGAAGTGAGGAAGGTTCATGGTGATGATATCTAAAGTGGTTTACATTCTCTCGATAAACAAAGAGGTTTTTCCTTCAGTTCAAACAGTGTCAGTATGACAGGAAGTGTGTGTGTGTGTGTGTGTGTGTGTGTGTGTGTGTGTGTGTGTGTGTGTGTGTGTGTGTGTGTGTGTGTGTGTGTGGTGCAGCAGGT